CTCCTTTGGTTTCATTTAGGGGTGATCTTCAGTGGTGCCTGCAGAACATTTTGATTGGGGTGACATTCAGGGGCCAGTTATATTTATGGGGGTGTGGTTATGTTTAAAGGGGGCAATCAGGGGCCAGTTATATTTATGGGGGTTCAGTTATGTTTATGGGGGCAATCAGGGGCCAGTTATATTTATGGGGGTGTGGTTATGTTTAAAGGGGGCAATCAGGGGCCAGTTATATTTATGGGGGGCAATCAGGGGCTAGTTATATTTATGGGGGTGCAGTTATGTTTATAGGGGGCAATCAGGGGCCAGTTATACTTATGGGGCAATCAGGGGCCATTTTTATTTTTGGGGGTAATCAGGGGCCAGTTATATTTGTATTTGTAATTAAATTATAGTCTAAGTCTTTCAGCATTGTACCTTAGCTACTCATGTTTGTTAAAAACGCAAACCTAACAGCTCATCACAGAGTCAGCGAACAAGTTGAAATGAATGAATGAATGAGACAGCTAACAAACGTTTGTTATAACCATTTGTTATAACAAACCTTTGTTATAACCATTTGTTATAACAAACCTTTGTTATAACCATTTGAAACCATGAAAATGTTGCATCTCTAAAATCCAGTTGCAGCATACAGGAAACTACTGCACATCTAGGCTATATACTACACCAGTGGAGGGTGTATTTTACTCACGACTGGGGTAAGAATCTCTCGTTCAGTCATGACACTCACTCACCAGCTCGGTCCATTGCTTCAGGTCTCTTATTCCATCATGACCAAGAGGTAGCCTGTCTGAATCTCACTCACTCACTCACTCACTCACTCACTCAATCAAGTCATTGAGGTAAGGACTCTTGTTCACAGTTCTCATTCATTTGTTCACTGTAGGGGTATATGTTCAGTCCCAGGCTTAGTTTCCAGCCAATCATATGCTTGCTTATGGCGCACCCTTACGTATCTCACTGGCTCTCACTGGCCATAGTCAAGGAGGTAAGCAGCATTCATGTCATATTTCTGAAGACAAGCGGGAGAAAAACAAATCTTTGCAGGGAAGTGAATGTGGGAAGATAATTCCTGTCAGATACTAGTTCTCTGTGAATAAATCGTTCGCAAACATCATACCATTATTATTCACATAGCTAGCGAGTAACTTCTGGAGCACAAGAATGCAGTGATGAACAATCATGAAAAAAATAACCCAAAAATAATTTAATGGAAACCGATAAAACTTTATAAATAAAAGCATGAATTACATTACTGTAGGGATAATGATTACTCATTGAGTGCTTCCATTTGGAATCTACCACCTGTGCCCACCTGTAGCTCGGGGGGTGTCAGCATGATGCGGCCACTAATGCAGGCAGACAGCTGGCTGTCGGTGCTGAGCAGCGATTCCTGGATGAGACACAGGAGCTTCTCCCTTTCCTGAGCTTCCCACACACACCTCTCCAGCTCCATCTGCCGCCGTACTGCCTACAACAGGCACACACATCGTTGCTGCACATTGTGTAGTACACATACAGACACAGTCACAGAATGCATTACAGCATCGCATCCAAGCACTCACAGTCATGCATAGTCAGGCAGACAAGCCGCCATGAATACTGCCACCCAAAGGTGGAACACTGTAACTGCATATTTGATCAAAATTGTGCTATGACCGAAGTCGTTTTTATCTTGTAAAATCTCGGGTTATCTCGATTTTGAAGAAAACACTATTATATTCCTACCTACTACACATCTGGATGGACAGTCAAAAACCTTTGAAGCCCATTTCCTTAGTTTCAGTACTAGTGTAATTAGTGTGTAGGGGAGAGTAGCTGGTC